AGTTTTGATTTGTTCCGAGATCCCCTCTGATGGTAAAAGCATATGCATATCTTTACAGTGAGAGGGTGATATAATATATCGAGACATGTTAGAAAATTGATTGTAGTATTCCTCCAAGTATTGGTAAAACTGTGCTTAATATAGTAGCTAATGCTCCGCCACGTTGTGCAACTAGTTTCTGTTTCATACCCGCTCCTTTTAAACCACTTGTCGATCGAATTAAACGTCTATGCTTCTTCAAAGTTTGATGTTGTTTGTTATCTAGATCCAGTTTTTTATTTGCTAAAAGATTGAACACGATTCCAAGAACTTTGAAAAGTTCTGGAGGTGAATTTTTCAAGATGATTTTACGGTATTCATATTACTAGCAGCTAACTTCTCCAGTATGTATCGATGTTTATTCAACATATCTGCCTGCTTTAGAGATAAATGCTTGGTAACCATTCCCAAAAATCTGTTATTACAGTTAGCTCCTGTGGTAGACTTGGTGCAAGACTAAGTAGAATGAATCCTCTTTCCTGTTTTGATGTTCTTTTAAAGGCGTTAGTGACACGCTTCAAATCATCACCACAAAACATTTGTCTTGCCAATGTGTTAATTTGTCTAAAATGACGTTGACTATTAAAGAGAACAAAATAGTGACTGTTAGAACTCATGAGTCTAAACAAGGGACATTTTGGGAATAGGTTTTGTGTTATGTAGAATGTAGATATTGATTTGTGATGTGACCCTAAAATGAAACATTCTGCCATTTCCTTGTTATCACTAAGAATTAAATCATCAACAACCAACATACTAGGTTCAGAAGTATCTATTTTATCAAAATTAAGTCCTTTGATAAATGTTATCGGCACATTTTCTTCATCATTCCAAGTTTTCATAAAACTCTGCTCTATTTTGTACATGTAAAAGATCCGTTTAGGCCAGGGGTGTACTAGTTTTTGTCTGATAACTTCCAATATGAATTGAGTCTTTCCAGCTCTTGTTGGTCCAAATATTATGCAGTTGTGGGAGGCTAGAAACTTAATCGGCATCACAAACTGAAGAGATCGAATTGAGGTACCCAAGTGTTTGCTTCGTCTGGATAACCTTGCCACTTGACAAGATATTCGGTCTGACCTCGTCTCGTACGCTTATCTAAAACTTTTTCAATTTGATAAATGCTGTTAGATTTATCCACCAATTGTATTTCACTAGTGTAAAATGAACCCTTAATCTCTTTACCTTTATAGTCCTTCAACTCATATGTGATAGGATAAGTGTCTTTGATTTGACTTATTGTAAACACTTCGTGACTCCATAATTGTTCATAACCCTTCTGAAATGTTCTTTTTTGCCTTGTTATCCTTACCGTATCCCCCACTTTGAAGTGCTTTTTCATAAACTTACTTTTCTTTATCACTTTAGGGAATAAAATTTTTCGAACTAATGCTTCATTTGCAGATGTTACTTCATTGGGAGTGTGCTTTATGGATCTATGTTTACTCTCATTGTATCCGTTTAATAGATCTTGTAGAACATCGATCCAACGGTGAGTACCCTTAGACGTAAAATACTTAAACATTCGCGTTTTTAATGTTCTATTGAACCGCTCAACTATTGCCCCTTTTTTATCACTATAAACACTGTAGTGTTTTATACGTAAATCTTTTAATAAACGCAAAAATTTCTTGTTGTAAAACTCTGTTCCTTGATCAAACTGCATTTTTTGTGGAGTGTTCTGACGTAAGAACGGTTCCATAACAGCTACAACAGAATTTGCTGTCTTATTTTTCATTTTAAGAGCCCATGCTTTTTTGCTAAATGTATCGATTATAGTAACAATCCACTTGTAACCATCGTTGTGTTGATGTAAACTCGAGAGGTCAACTAAATCACACTGATACAAGTATCCAATTCCCTTGGTCCAAATTCTGCGATATAAACCAGGTTTCTTATCGGGTTTGTGTAGTGTGTAGCTGTCAATTGTTCTTAAACTTTTTGTTACAGTTCTAGGACTTACTAAATGGCCTTTATTTCTAAGCTGTTTGTAGAAGCGATTCTTTCCAGTAAAGGACCCTGGAAAGGTAGGGTCTTCATACAAGTCTTTCAAATTCATTTCTGTTTTACATGATATATTTCTTGTCTATAAATACCCAGAGTTCACTGTAATTTTAAAAATGAGTTTACAATGTGATAAGTGTGGGAAATCTTACCCAACAAACGCTACATTGTATCAACACAAAAGCCTTGCTCATCCAGAACCGAAACTCATGTTGGTTAACCACTCACATGGTTCATCATCTTCGAGTAAACGATCTAGAGGATATAACACATCTCACCCAGATGCTAAAAAACGTGATTTAGCACCAGTAACTAAACATAATCATCCTAAAGAGAAACCTAGAGACTATGAAATCAAAACTTATCCTACTCCACAAACATACGATGGACAAGCTGACGATAATCTGAAAATTGTCGATAGTTTTGATGATGATGGACAAGGAGATAAAGGACTTCAGGTAGTTGACAGCTATGACAATGATGGACAATCTGATGATGGTCTAACAGTGGTTGATAGTATTGATAGTATTGACTACAAGAAATTGTATGAAGAGTGTTTAGCTTCTAAAAAGCAATTTGAAAACATATGTCAAAAGAAGATCACAGATTTAAAAAAGAAGCACGAAGAAAGAATAGATTCTCTAAAAGAGAATTATAGAGATAAATTGCGTGACTTTGGTAATGAAATGAAGGCTGAATACGATGAAAGAGTTGGTAAGATACGAGAGTCGCATGTCAAAGCTACTAAAGATTTGAATGATGCACATGAAAAGGCAATGGATGATTTCGAACGAGAATGCAAAAGAAAAATAAAACTTCTCTCAGAACAACTTCAAGCTGTGAAAGATGATGACGAAGATTTGAGTAGTCTCACAAAAGCGATATTTAATTGCACAACAATGGAGGAAATTTTTCAAATTCAAAAATTAATCAATAACCATCAGATTGATGAATTAATTCAAAATCATTTACCGACACTGCAGAATCTACTACTTAGCTTGTCATTTGGTATTCTACCAATTTGTCAACCACAGCGAGATCAGGTAACAAATGAACAACGACGTGTGGTGGAGCAGCTACAAACGGCCTCACCATCAAATGCAAAAAATATTCTTAGAAATAAGCGGGGTGATGTTATTAACCTCTTCACAATTATCAAGGACTCTATCAAGTTAGCCAGAGATACATATAACAGATACAATGCTTCTAATTAGGCTATATAAAGCATGTGTCACAAACTATATTGAAAACCAGGAAAAATGAATCTCCAAGTAGTTTTCCATTTCATCTCAACCCTTACTTTTGTATTCAAGTTTCCTGTTAACTTAAACGGCCAGCAAGATTATTTTTACTTTGAGGGTGTAAATCAAAGTGCTCATTTGTTTAGGTCACAGAAAATCGTAAATCTATATTTGAACCAGGGAGAAAACTTGACTGTTTTTGAGGCGGCAATAAATCAATCAACATTCACATTTTCCTGGATTGGATTTGAAATTGATGGAAAGTCTATGAATTTAACAAAATCAGTTGGAGACACTTCCAAAATGAACTACAACAGCCTGCTTTTCCTGTCACCTATTATAGATGAGATTGAAGAATGTACTACAAATTGTTCTGCCCAAATTGCACAATACAATAATATAAACTATTGGTATATTGTTTTGATAGTGCTAGCTATAGGTATTCCCTTGAATCTAAAAGAGGAGGCTATAAAATCATGGGTAAAAATCCTTCAAGCTTCTAATGGAGTGAAATTTTCTAAAGTTCCTAGATCTATTAGCACTGATGTCTAACTTTTTTTCTATATTGAGGGAAGCTTAAGACTTAATGAGATATATGAGTCAGTTCTTAACTGTTGATGTCCTAGATCATAGAGTGTAGTACGATAAAAAAAATTGCACTAAACTTTCTCTAGTAGATATCTATAAAAGCTACTATCTAAGATAGTAATTTCCATCAACATGGTTGTTTGTCCGGTTTGTAGAATTAATCAAGACCAAGCATGCCTTCACGATGAAAATACCATACGTTTAATGTGTATTTGGTTAAGACATCATCCTGAGAATCTTGCAGAGTTTTATTTCTGTGTTTACAAGTATTTTGACCGAAATATTAACCCAAGCGTGAAAAATTTTGTTGAAAAGTTTAACCTCTATAAATGAGTTCATTTCCATTAAAACATTCTTGAATTCGTTTGAAATGACATTTTACGATAATGTTGACTGGGTTGGCTTCCTCACAGAAAATGTGATAAGAAAATGCGTTTCATGGACATTAGCAGATTGTCCTGGTTGTCAAGATGGAATGAAAAATGATATTCTCCACCAACACCATCAGCTATCACTATTGGATAGAGTTCAGAACCATTTTGAAAAAGCCAGAGGCGAAGTTTTAGGTTCCTTGCCAACATTGTACAAAATTTTTGCGCCAAGCTTGCCTCATAGTTCCGACCTTAAAAAAGATGCTGTCATTTACTGTAATCTTGGAAAAACTTTTCTATTAACAAGCTCTCCTCAAGCATTGTACTTTGGGAGATACATCAACAGTTTAAACGACAGTTGCATTTCTGAGGCTATGGTTAAAGTAAAGAAAGCAAAGCTATAAAGAGGGAGGTGAAATGTTCTCACTTCATTTCTTGTTTTGCGAATTACAGAACGTTTCAAATCATGAATGTCTACATCACTACAGACGGATATACTTTACCGAGCGGTTTTATCGTCAAAGAAATCTGCTGTATGTTTATCAACAATGAATTCAACCACTACCTTGTGAAACCCCCTATGAATCGAGATCTAAATGATGTTGATAAAAGAACCATACGGTATGCCACCAAGAACCTCAACAACCTGTCCTATCATGATGGCTGGTTTCCCTACGAGAAGATGAACGAAATATTTTGGAGATTTCAAGAATATCATGTGTATACCTACAACGATCTTACCTTGAAATTTATTCAAAACATTCTACCAACAACTATAGTTACAAATGTACAGGAATTAGGATTTCAGATGCCAGATGTGTTGCCAGATGCAAACTGTTTTAGGTCACACAATGCCAGATATTGTGCCAAGGCAAAATGTATTGCTATAAAAAATTTTATTGAATCTTAATTTTCTTGGGTGTTTTTAGATTTAGTTGGATATTTTAGATTTAGTTGATTGTTTTAGATTTAGTTATTATCATTTACGTTTTAATTTTATAAACGAATAATATGCGACTTTTATTTTGTATAACCTAAACATAAATAAGATACAAACAAATAAAAAGTCAATCAACATATCCATTATACCCGTATGGAATTGTGTCAATTCCATTACCTAAAACAACCCTCTTAATATCTACAAAACTTAGAGCTATTCTCTCTGATTGTCTCATAAAAATTCTATGATTTTTTGATACTAGGGTGTTCTGAGTAATGTTCTTAAACGTGGAATGTGCGATTGTTTCTACAAAATCGACATGCTTCAGTCTCTTTTGCATATTTCTCTTCACCCCCGCGGCTCCCATTTTCTGTTCTTCATCTGTAACTATAGAGTAGCATTTGGCTCTACACCCAGCAAACTGATGGGTTTCGCAACCTGCCATTTCGTCCTTGAATCTGAAAATGTGAAAGAGTTAAATTCGACTGCCTTCAACCCTAATTTATCATACATTGATTTTTAATTTGATTTAGTGACTGATAATACCTGCCCGGGGTGAGTTTATTCTGAATGGAATAGAGACAATGATTCACAGGGTAGTTTGAGAAGTCCATGAAAGTTGAGGATATTCTCGAAAATTTTTCAGTCAAATCGCCTTCTTGTATGTGGTATAGAAAACTGTCCGTGTCACTGTAGCACAACTGAAATTTGTTAATTTTAAATAGAGAAAAATAAGAACATCTAGAATAATGGTCTGTTGTTGTTCTGTTAAGCTAGAATTTGAGTAGAACTAACCTCAATTTTCCCTGGAAACAGAGGTCGCATAACTTTATAATGAAATTGATACATGTGGAGTTTTGCAAGTTCCAAAATCACCTGGAAAAATGAGCAGAGTTACAAATGAGCTTGTCTATAAATTTGTTTTGGAAAACATGAGTAAATTACGTATAATTGAGAGAGCGATCACAGTTAAAATACAGTTTAAACAACCTTACCATGCCTGCATAAAGAGGTTTGTTTAACGTTATCTCAAGGTTGTTTGACTCAAAAATGACGAGATTTTTGGATACAACGACAGCAGACTTCAGTTCAACTCTTTGAGAGAGGCGTTTGACTTGCTTTTCAGTTGTTGCCAAGTCAAACTTTCGATATTTTCTAACGTTCTCACAGGTCTTGCCAAAGACACTGAAATTATCGATTTAGCAACAAAATTTTAAAGATTCGCGTTTTTCTGAAATTAGTAAAAATAACCTGTTTGATTCTGTCAATAATCACCTGTTTATCAGAAGTTTAAAGAAGTCCTTCTCAAACTTGTTTTGGGCTTCAATCCTCTTCATAGTATTTGTTTTTATATATTCAGCCATCCAAGAAGATTGGTAAAATGTCACAGCTCGATGTATCTTTTTGAGAACAAGTCCTTGCTGTGTGTAAAACAGCAAGTTCTTGACATGTGTGACATAATTCGTTTTAGGTAAGACAGTTTGCGTGAGTCTGGTCTGGGTTGAATATGATATGTTGAAATCATCAAAAAACTGCCTCGTCTCCTCACTCAGCATATCCTTTGTTATAGATAACCTCTCCGGAGCCAAGGGATAATCTCTGTGACTCGAATGAAGTGAGTCAGGGTATTCTAAGTCAACCTGTAAAAATTTAGAATAAATGTAATGAAGTCAGAAACATTACACTATATAGTCTTGAAATAATTAAGTAAACTCTTAGCTAACCTCCAAAATCATCCCTGTATCACCATTAACATCGATCTTTGTGACATCCAGAGAGGATATCTCTTGCTCAGTCAACCATTTAAAATCTTTGTGGGGCAGCTTCATTTGCATGCAATACCTGCAGAGGAAAATAATGATATTGAAAGCATGGTGCATGGTTGAAAGCATGGTGCAGACCTAAACTAACCATCCTTATCTACCCCGATCCAGTTTACAAACCTTGTAACAGAGACCAGATAAGGCTAAACAGAATGTAGTTAATATGATTTACACTTAATTGAGTTACACTTGCCAGTTAATTTATTTTAAAACTTACCCGTACAGGTTATTACAATCTGTGTAGAAAATCGATGACTGAGGCATTTGATCGTTATATCTTTGTAGACCTCTGTTGTTAGCTGTGGCTAGACGTTTGAAAACTGTGCTGCAACCTCCTCTCATTCCTGAAAAATCCTTAATCAATATTCAAGTGAGTTCAAAAGGTTTCTGTATTTTTATTAATGAAAAACATGAAGAAATAATCTACTCCCTACATTAGGAAACTAACCTTTTTCAAAGAATTCATACATGTTCACATCTGTCAACAATTCTAACTCAACATTCGTTAGATGCAACATAGCGTCAAACGAGTAGCTTGGTGAACTTATGTAATACGCTGGATCTATAGCAAACATTTCAAGACCCAACCGTCTGTAGTCCTCAAAGACAGATGCTAGTATCAAAACATCCACTCTGAAGCATGAATTTAGATTAGGCAGGAAAATATCATTCAACTCGTAAGCTTATCAAAATTCTAGAAGGAGGGAATTCAAGGTTACATATCAAACTCATGCGATTTCTTGAGTATAATCGCAAAAGGGTTACATGATAGGCTATCAAAATAAGAGCATTAAAATGTAATTAATGTTTCACCTCAAGTACAAATCGTGAAGTTCCCCTAAAGTAGTTATATTGAAGATTTTGCAAATTCTTAAGAGTGTGTCATAATCTTCGTCAGACAAATCTTCATCGGTGAGTTTGTTGAAAAACGCTGGTTTACCGGGAATTGGCTCCTCGAATCTGTCAAACCCGTCTATATAGTCGTAGGGGTAGATTAACTTTTGCAACACACATCGAAATTGATCATCGAGGGGGAATTCGTTTCGCATTAGATTAAACCCATCCAAGCCCCTCTGTCGCAAGCTTTTGCAGAGATTATCTAGACTGCCAACGAGGTGACTCATTGAATCATGGACTATGAATCTTTGGGTCTTAATCTGGGTATATTGTTAGTATTCTCACTGAGCTGCGAGGGCCACATCGCTGCAGTGTTTCTATTTCTATTATGGATTGTATTTGTATTTATATTCATTTATTTATTTATTAAGATGACTAACCATCTATCTCCATAGGAGTGGTGGGGCTGTTTTTACACTACAATTACTGCCTATCATTGCACCGTCTAACCAGTAAAACATGGTAAACAGTGAAGATGAAAAAGAAAGTAATCCACCACCTGATACAGCAACATCATCAAATGTTCAAGGAGCAGTACTGCAACCAGAGCCAATACAAGTGCAGTACCAACAGCCAGCAGCCCGCCTTACAGCCCCACCGCAATGGAAAGCATCTATGAGTTATGAGGAATGGAGACTACAAGTTGAGATGTGGGACAAATTATGTGCAGTCAGAAAAGTAGACCCCGCAGAGCAAGGGTATGCCTTGTTCAACCTAGTATCTCAACACACTGATCATAATATCGTATCAAAGCTCAACTCAGCAGTAAAAAACAAAGACATCGATGTTCTTGACGGGGAAGGAGTACAAAACATCATGAAGCTATTAGATAGAACATACAGGAAAGATGATACCAGTAAGATGATGAAATCCTGGTCGGATTTTATCAATCTTAGGAGAAAGGACAGTCAAGATATGTCAAGCTTTCTCAATAACTTTGATCAAGCCAACACCAACTTGAAAATTAGCAAGATAACTCTTCCTGGAACTGTGTTAGCATTACACATGCTAGAAAGATCCGGTTTATCAGCAAATGACAAAAAGCTGGTAATGACTGGAGTTGAGTTAGTTAAAACAGAGTCTGTTGTTGAAGATATGATGAATTCAATCAAGAAATACTTTGGTGAAGGAATCCATGAGATTGAAAAGAGACCACAATGTGATACGCCCATCAAAGAAGAGCCAGTATTCAATGGTGAGAGACTTTTTTCTGAATCGTCAGAATCTACACGTTCATCATCAGATCCTGATAACATGTCTGAAGAAGAGGAAGCCTACTACACCAATTGGAGAAATAGAGGAAAGGCTTGGAGAAGAACAGATAATAACAGATCATACAACAATCACATCTCAAGATTTAATCGTGACAAAAGGGATAATGGCAAAGGAGAATACAAGCCAAAGAGATATTCAGATAATGATCGAAGAAGAGATAACTCTAGAAGTTTCAAAAAAGAGTACTCTAAGACATATAAGACAGCTGACGACTCTAGGGCAACTCAGAAGTTTAACCCCCGGTTGAGATGTAATAGATGCGAATCAGTAATGCATTTGATTAAAGATTGTCCTCATTCAGATAGATCAGAAAATGTTAATGAATGTAGAGAGATTTCAGAGATGGAGACAGCAGAATGCCATCAGGTAGCACTTTTAGACTCTGCTTGCTCGAAGAATGTAGTTGGCGAAGAATGGATTCGTGAGTACATAGATAACCTGACAGAAGAGGACAAAGCACTCCTGAAAGTGTCAGACGCCCGTTCAAAATACAGTTTTGGAGGTAGTGACCCTATTGCTGCCGCAGATGCGGTGAGAGTACCTTGTATAATTGCCGGAAAGAAGACATTCCTTTGGGCTGATATAGTGCAAAGGAATATTCCATTTCTGATCTCCAAAGAAGAGATGGCAAAGCGAGGGTTTAAATTAGACCTTGGTACAAGTACGATTGAAGTAGATGGAGATGTGATCCCTGTTATAACAACCGAGTCAGGTCTGATTGGCATATCTCTATGGGATTATAATGAAGTTGCTATAGAAGAGCAATGTAATCTAGTCAATCTAGATGACACAGTCAGCAGTATTACCAAACTTCATAAGCAGCTGGGTCATTGTTCAGCAGAGAATCTGAAAAAGATTACCAAAAATGCAAACGTACAAGGTGAAAATGTGAACAAGGTGATTGATCAAGTGCTAAAAGAATGTGATGCCTGTGCGAGATATAAAAGAACACCCTCCACACCAGTCGTTGGATTACCTATGGCAACGAAGTTCAATGAGGTAGTAGCTCTTGATTTGAAATAATTTACTGGAATCAATGGTTATGTGATTTACATTGTTGATATGTTCTCAAGATTCTGCAAAGCTAGGGTGATTTCCAACAAAAAGCCAGAGACAGTAATAAAAGCCTTTACTATGGAATGGATTGCAGCAGGTATGGGACCTCCAGGAAAAATATTAGTGGACAATGGAGGAGAATTCGCAAACAATGAACTTAATGATCTCAGTGAACAACTCAACTTTGAAATTTGTGTTACCAGTGCCTACTCACCTTGGTCAAATGGCTTATGTGAAAGAAACCATGCTGTGGTTGACAAATCAGTGCTTAAAATGATGTATGACGGGTTTCCATTGAAGATAGCACTTGCATGGTCAATCAATGCCAAGAACACACTGTACAATGTCAGTGGATTTTCTCCAGTGCAGATAGTGACAGGTCAGAATCCAAACTTTCCTGGGGTATCTTACAACTTGCTACCTGCTAATGAAGGAGCAGATGAATCATTATCAAGCGACATTCAAAGGAATCTTAATGCAATGTATCTAAGCAGAAAAGCATATCTAGAGGCAGAGAATTCAGAAAGAGTTAAAAGAGCTTTGAAAAGACCCTTACGAGATATCAACCAAGACTTTATGATTGGTGATGTTGTATTCTACAAAAGACCTAATATTGAACGCTGGAAAGGACCTGCCAAGATAGTCGGCAAGGAAGGAAAGACTCTTATACTGAGGCATGGAGGACTGCTTATCAAAGCAGCAAGCTGTAGAATTGTGAAACGAGAATATATAGTGAGTGACGAGCACAACCAAAACAATGATGATATCTTGGAAACAGAGAATAGCCAACATGATGAAGCAGTCAATCTTAACGATGATCAGTTTGATGAAGCTGCTGAAAACATAGAAGAAATGCCTATTCAATTTCAAGTGCCAGTGGAAACAGAGGAAATACCAACAGGGCAAGAAATTATGAGCTCCTCTCCAATACTTGAAATAGACTCTAAGATAATTTCCAATGAACAAAAACAACAACTCAAGATTAAGTATTTGGAAACTAGACTTCAGAAAAACGATGTTTCGGTCGGAGATACGGTGAAACTTGTTAAAGAAGGAAAAGAAAATGAATGGGAGACATGTACCGTGACTCAAAAAGGAAAACGGCTTGGCAGAAAAGATCACTGGGTGAAACTTATGACAACCCAAGGTGAAGAAAAGCTGATAGATTGTACAAAGACGGCTATGTACAAAGCTGATGCTGCTATTGATGCAGAACCTGGAGACGATCACGAAGAATGTAATGTTGTGACAATTCCCACTTCCAGACACAATGAAGATGTGGTTATTAAGGCTAAAGTTATTGAATTGACTAACTGGAAGCAGAGAGAAGTATATGATGAAGTCAAGGATTGTGATCAGAATGTCATTACAACAACTTGGGTAATAACAGAAAAACCCAGCACTGAACTTGGAGTTAAAGCCCGGTTAGTAGTCCGTGGATTTCAAGAGCAAAATCAGTCGATTGAAGTGGAGTCACCTACAGTATTCAAAAACACTCTCAAGGTTGTACTTGCTATAGCTGCAAACCAGCAGTGGCAACTAACAACGATTGATATCAAAGCTGCCTTTCTGCAAGGAAATAAAATTGAAAGAAATGTTTATGTCATACCACCCAAGGAAGCTCATGTAGAAAAAGGTTATTTGTGGAGATTGAGAAAGACAGTGTATGGTTTAAATGATGCGGCAAGAGCTTGGTTTATCAGTGTGAAGGGACTTCTTATCAACCTTGGTTGTACTCAATCAGTGTTAGATCCTGCTTTGTTCATATGGAGAACTAGTACTGGATTCGAAGGAATACTTGTGCTTCACGTTGATGATTTCTTAGTAGCTGGTACAAAGTCATTCTTTGATAGAGTTGTAAAAGAACTGACATCAAACTTTGAAGCTGGTAAAATATGCAAATCAAAGTTCAATTACATTGGTCTATCAGTTGAGCAGACAGAAGACGGTATCCTAGTGAACCAACATGAATATATCCGAGATCTAGCAGATGTCATCAATGATAAAGAACATGAGATATATCATCTGTCGACTGACAGGAAGCTTAGAACAATATGTGGTCAGTTGAACTGGGTAGCTGCTCAATCACGCCCAGATTTGTCATTCATGACGTATGATTTAAATGTAACAAAGAGTGTAGATCCAGTAGAAGCTGTTAAGAAGGCCAATAAAGCATTCAGACGGATGAAAGAGCTCAACGGTTGTTACAACACAAAGTTCTCAAAGTTAGGAGACATTTCTACACTCAAGATTGTGATCTACTCTGATGCATCATCTATGAACCTCGGTGACAAGGTGTCCACAGGAAAAGGTCATCTAATAGTCCTAATGAATGAGGAAGGAAAGATATCACCGTTATCATGGGGAAGTCATAAATGTAAACGAGTTGTAAGCAGCACTTTGAGCGCAGAGACTTTGGCATTCAAAGATACATTAGATCATGGAGTGTATGTCTCTCATCTGATAAGTGAGATCTACTTCGATCAATTTGATAAGTCAATGGTTCCAGTAATAGGCTTTACAGACAATCAATCATTAGATAAAGCTTTGCGATCAAGTAAACATGTTGAAGAAAAGAGGTTGAACGTTGATCTGGCTACCATTAGACAAATGCAGCAGAAAGATGAGATTGAAGTAAAATGGGAAGAGGGAGCTAAACAGCTTGCGGATCCCTTTACTAAAATAACCAGTAACAGTGATAAACTTTTAGTGATGCTAAATAAAGGAGAAATTGTTTCAATTTAATTGGTATTTAATGGTTTTTTAATTAGTGGTAGGTTTTGATGCCAATGAAACAGTGTGCATTTGTTTTTTTTTAATTGTTTATAATTTGTTTATAATTACGAGTGACGATGACTTTAATGTATAATTAACCTTTAACAAAAAAAAAAAAAAAAAAAAAAAAAAAAAAAAAAACAACAACAATCCGAAGTCCCGGTGACACTTTGTCAAGAACAGCTTATTAAAAGAAAAAGATAGTGTGGCTCTCCTCTTGGCTAGTACCTACTCTCACCTTGCTCTCAACGTGACAGACTACTTACTTTCTCCTGCTATCTATGGCCGTTGTGAGAACGGGATACAGACTATGATTAGTACAGTGTAAGAAATTGAAAGGACTGAAAGAATTGAAATGAACAGTATTATTATGATTTTTGAAAAAGGAAGGAAGAAAGAATTGAGAATGTGATGATAGTTTTTGGAAAAGTGATGATGATAGTTTTTGGAAAAGTTTTAATCTGTTTTAGAAATTGGGGTAAGATGTTAGTATTCTCACTGAGCTGCGAGGGCCACATCGCTGCAGTGTTTCTATTTCTATTATGGATTGTATTTGTATTTATATTCATTTATTTATTTATTAAGATGACTAACCATCTATCTCCATAGGAGTGGTGGGGCTGTTTTTACACTACAATTACTGCCTATCATTGCACCGTCTAACCAGTAAAACATATATTTCTCAGCAGTATTGGCAATAACCTCTATGGTACCCGTTCTCTTGTCATCAGCTAAAGCTGTTAGAATGAAATGATTGTCGTAACCCTTCCCATTGTGAAAGTAGACAAACAACCTCTTTTGTTGACAAGCCTTCAAATTACATTGAGAATGAGCGGCACCACGAAATGAACCTGAATAAGATGTCACATTAGTGATAATCAATTATAGATTTATATTTCAATTGTAAACGTTTGTATTAATCAATAGTATAAGTTAACTTATCAACCTGAAATATGACAGTGATCGCGAACAACAGGATTGTTCAAATCGCTCCAAATTAAGCTTTGTTTACAGATTGAGCAGTTGGTTGCTGTTTGAAATTGCACCATGTTATCGTCTGTGAACTCCATCGGTTTCACCTCGTTGAGTATATCCTCTATGTCGTAACACTCATTTATCAAACAGTCTACAAACTTTGCGGCTGCATCTTCACCTCTATATAACTTCAATGGTCTACAAAGAACATCATGAGGTGACACAATCATGTATGCGAACCCTGTTGGTTTTTGTTCAGCGATGTTTGAGCTTTTTGAACCGGTGCTCTCGTTCATGCTGATCTGATAGGCTTCAAAATCGGCATACATGACCACAGGACAGGGAAATTTGTATTGAAAGTTTTTGAATTTCAATACAGGGTCTTCAGGCATGAAGACAGCGGGTTCTCCTGTCTCACAGAACGTTGCATGCTTTTCAAAAAAACGTTTGGATGTGAACCTTCTAAAACATCTTTCACATGTCAACATTCTTTTCTCGTATTTCGTGACCAATCTCAAAAATGTTGATAGGGATTTGATCAGAACATAATGTGTTTTATTTCTTTCTGTCAAACTGATCAGATGTACTATCCTCTTAAACTTGAAGTTCGTCGTGTAAATAGGGAAAATGTGTGTTCTTAGCTCGCTCTCACTGTAACCAAAAACATTGACGGATATACCTGAAAATCGTAGTTGATATAAGAATAAAGATAAATTTAAAAATATTATGAATGTGTAATTAGGAAAGTTGCTTTATTATATGGATAAAGGGACTTACAGGTTTGTTTCTCAAACAGGGGGATGTCCTCCAACCGTTTTGGTGCGTTGATTCCTGTGGGTACAAGTATCATTTTCTATTCTTCACTAAGCTCTAGATATTCACTAGATTATTACAGTCACGTGATGGTTGCATATGTTATGATTGTTAATAATTGATATATAGTATATACCTGTCGTGATTAGTTTCTTGACATAACGCTTATAGAATCCAGGTCGTGTTGGGTTTCTATCAGGTCTTTTCAAAGCAGCCACAATACAATAAAGGAATGATTGGTCATCTTTATTCCGTATGTTCAACAGACATCTTCTCTTTTTCAACAGTTTGGGAGTTGGCAAGTAAGTCGACATTCTAGAATTTAAGAGAGTTTATATAATGTTATATAGAGTGTTATATATAACATGGATAATTATGTTCTTAAATCACGTCATAATTCAAACTTAAATGCAATATGTCTTCTATCTACATTTTTAATTTCAATCACTCTTGTTATTGATTTTTGGTTTTAAACTATTGAAAGTTCTCAAAGTTAATTGAAATTAGTAAGATATAAAACAACAATTTTCAACATTATAGTGGTCCCTATATAGACCCCTAATCAATCACTCAATCAATCATCCTGATACAGGGTTGTACTTTATGACGAGCACTGTAACCATTTGCCATCGTCTCCATATCCAACCGCTACCTGTTGAGATTATTTGTAATAATCTTTGTATCTGCAATTGTAACATAACTCAACTTGGTTTGATTAGGGTCAAGGTAGTTGGAGGTTAATGAAATAAAAATTAGAAAACTTTACCAACCCATTCCTTGAAAAGACTCGTATGAATCCAAGATTTTGTTTCGAACTTCATTGATCATCTCATCCTTGTTTGATGATCTCAGACACACAGTTGCTCGTGTCTTGAAACCAAATGTCTGCTCTTCACCGTTTATATGTTTCTGTAAATGAAATATATCAACTTCTATTTATCTATATTTTTTTCCTTGTTAAACCACTCCTTTTGGATTTGAAAATTTCCTTATCACTATTTTAACAGATTGTTAGTAGCAAATCAAATACCTGAAATACCCCGTCCAAAGTGACATGGAACTTGAAACAGTTCCGTCGTTGCATGAAGCGCTCTATTATCATGTCAACACCCCCCAAGAGCACCTCCAACCCTTCTTCAGGGGTTCCGTTGAACTGTGTTTCAGGGGCTCTAACCTTAAATTCAATGACAGAGTCATTCAAGGCTCGTGTTACATTAAAAGTCAGTTCGCTCATGCTAATAGTTTTGTGATAAGAGGTCTGTTTTTAAGCCTTTATATAGTACTAAGTATTTTATAACCGATCCGCCGTATTTAGTAACCTCTGCATTGGAAAATAAAAATATAAGTCAAAAAGTAGGGTAAAATAAAATGCAGAGAACGGGGTCACCTCGTGAAGGATGTGGCTATTCACCACCTACGGACGGTCTTTTTTCTGTGAAAACTGGTTCATATTACAGAACCTTGATGCAAATTCACCCCCTGCAGCTGATCAAAGTTTTAAATGATAAGAATATTTAAAAAATAAAGTAACGACCAGCCGAGGAAGGCAAATTTTCCCCAAAATAAAAAAGAAAAAAAAGTATGGTTAATCATTTTAAAAACAGATAGCAAGAAAAGATAGTAGCAAAATGTGTAATAAGATAATATTTTAAATTAAAATAGAATAACAAGTAAATTCAAACAGTAGTATAACTAGAAAAAAAAAAAAGTAAACGAAGAGAGTGCTCTCCTATTATATTAAATATAGTGGGAATTCCCACCTAATTTAATCCTTTTATTTTTCAGTACTAGTGGTTTCATTATTATAATTATCAGTGATGATAATAACATTGAAGCAGTATGAATTGCAAACAGTCATTTTTCAATTTTTGGAATTAGAGAGAATACTCTCTTATTTTGTTATAGTTAGCGGGGATCCCCGCCTTGCTGGAACCCTTTGCTTACAAGCGATCTTACCATTATCTCACACAAACAATGCCCAGCCGTATCATGAGATAGTCAGATTTGTAGCCTTAAACTACAATCCGGTCCACATCCATTGGGGGCATTGGAAACACAAACTCGATAGAGCGGATGGGACCGTCTGCTTGTAAATTGCAATAAGATGATGATTGACTGTTTGCTCTTCATAGCTTCGTATCATTCTTCATTTTATTCATATCTTTATAATTTTTCATTCTTCACTTTCTACTTTTAATAGTATTTCTCACTTTAATTTGTATACAGTTTACATTTATTATAAATGTATTATTATCTTTATTATCTTTCAGATTCTTATTTTTATATCTGTATTAAATATAATTCGACTCATACCGCACAGCGTGATAGGCAAGCTACCAGTGTTTTAGCAGAGCTTTCTCGTAACTTTCAGATTCTTATTTTTATATCTTTATTAAATATAATTCGACTCATACCGCACAGCGTGATAGTCAAGCTACCAGTGATTTAGCAGAGCTTTCTCATAACTTTCAGATTCTTATTTTTATATCTGTATTAAATATAATTCGACTCATACCACACAGCGTGATAGGCAAGCTACCAGTGATTTAGCAGAGCTTTCTCATAACTTTCAGATTCTTATTTTTATATCTGTATTAAATATAATTCGACTCATACTGCACAGCGTGATAATCAAGCTATCAGTGATTTAGCAGAGCTTTCTCGTAACTTTCAGATTCTTATTTTTATATCTGTATTAAATATAATTCGACTCATACCGCACAGCGTGATAGTCAAGCTATCAGTGATTTAGCAGAGCTTTCTCGTAACTTTCAGATTCTTTATTTTTATATCTTTATTAAAACATAATTCGACTCATACTGCACAGTGTGATAGTCAGACTACCAGTGATTTAGCAGAGCTTTCGAATATCTTTCAGATTCTTTATTTTTATATCTTTATTAAAATATAATTTGACTCATACTGCACAGCGTGATAGTCAGACTACCAGTGATTTAGCAGAGCTTTCTCATAACTTTCAGATTCTTATTTTTATATCTGTATTAAATATAATTCGACTCATACCACACAGCGTGATAGGCAAGCTACCAGTGATTTAGCAGAGCTTTCTCATAACTTTCAGATTCTTATTTTTATATCTGTATTAAATATAATTCGACTCATACTGCACAGCGTGATAGTCAGACTACCAGTGATTTAGCAGAGCTTTCTCGTAACTTTCAGATTCTTTATTTTTATATCTTTATTAAAATATAATTCAACTCATACTGCACAGCGTGATAGTCAAGCTATCAGTGATTTAGCAGAGCTTTCTCGTAACTTTCAGATTCTTATTTTTATATCTTTATTAAAATGTAATTCGACTCATACCACACAGCGTGATAGTCAGACTACCAGTGATTTAGCAGAGCTTTCTCGTAACTTTCAGATTCTTTATTTTTATATCTTTATTAAAATGTAATTCGACTCATACCGCACAGCGTGATAATCAAGCTATCAGTGATTTAGCAGAGCTTTCTCGTAACTTTCAGATTCTTATTTTTATATCTGTATTAAATATAATTCGACTCATACCGCACAGCGTGATAGTCAAGCTATCAGTGATTTAGCAGAGCTTTCTCGTAACTTTCAGATTCTTTATTTTTATATCTTTATTAAAATGTAATTCGACTCATACCGCACAGCGTGATAATCAAGCTATCAGTGATTTAGCAGAGCTTTCTCGTAACTTTCAGATTCTTATTTTTATATCTGTATTAAATATAATTCGACTCATACCGCACAGCGTGATAGTCAAGCTATCAGTGATTTAGCAGAGCTTTCTCGTAACTTTCAGATTCTTTATTTTTATATCTTTATTAAAATATAATTCGACTCATACTGCACAGTGTGATAGTCAAGCTACCAGTGATTTAGCAGAGCTTTCTCATAACTTTCAGATTCTTATTTTTATATCTGTATTAAATATAATTCGACTCATACCACACAGCGTGATAGGCAAGCTACCAGTGATTTAGCAGAGCTTTCTCATAACTTTCAGATTCTTATTTTTATATCTGTATTAAATATAATTCGACTCATACTGCACAGCGTGATAATCAAGCTATCAGTGATTTAGCAGAGCTTTCTCGTAACTTTCAGATTCTTATTTTTATATCTGTATTAAATATAATTCGCCTCATACCGCACAGCGTGATAGTCAAGCTATCAGTGATTTAGCAGAGCTTTCTCGTAACTTTCAGATTCTTTATTTTTATATCTTTATTAAAATATAATTCGACTCATACTGCACAGTGTGATAGTCAGACTACCAGTGATTTAGCAGAGCTTTCGAATATCTTTCAGATTCTTTATTTTTATATCTTTATTAAAATATAATTCGACTCATACTGCACAGCGTGATAGTCAGACTACCAGTGATTTAGCAGAGCTTTCTCATAACTTTCAGATTCTTATTTTTATATCTGTATTAAATATAATTCGACTCATACCACACAGCGTGATAGGCAAGCTACCAGTGATTTAGCAGACCTTTCTCATAACTTTCAGATTCTTATTTTTATATCTGTATTAAATATAATTCGACTCATACTGCACAGCGTGATAGGCAAGCTACCAGTGATTTAGCAGAGCTTTCTCATAACTTTCAGATTCTTATTTTTATATCTGTATTAAATATAATTCGACTCATACTGCACAGCGTGATAATCAAGCTATCAGTGATTTAGCAGAGCTTTCTCGTAACTTTCAGATTCTTATTTTTATATCTGTATTAAATATAATTCGACTCATACCGCACAGCGTGATAGTCAAGCTATCAGTGATTTAGCAGAGCTTTCGAATATCTTTCAGATTCTTTATTTTTATATCTTTATTAAAATATAATTCGACTCATACTGCACAGCGTGATAGTCAGACTACCAGTGATTTAGCAGAGCTTTCGAATATCTTTCAGATTCTTTATTTTTATATCTTTATTAAAATATAATTCGACTCATACTGCACAGCGTGATAGTCAGACTACCAGTGATTTAGCAGAGCTTTCGAATATCTTTCAGATTCTTTATTTTTATATCTTTATTAAAATATAATTCGACTCATACTGCACAGCGTGATAGTCAAGCTACCAGTGATTTAGCAGAGCTTTCTCATAACTTTCAGATTCTTATTTTTATATCTGTATTAAAATATAATTCGACTCATACTGCACAGCGTGATAGTCAAGCTACCAGTGATTTAGCAGAGCTTTCTCATAACTTTCAGATTCTTATTTTTATATCTGTATTAAATATACTTTATAAATGTATTATTTTTATTTCAAGTACATTAACCCATGTTGTAACTAGAAGGGGAAAGAAACATTATAGAATTGGTATCACGATAGTTAATTATTTGAATTATAGCATAAATATCTTTATCACTTAATTATTATCATTAGCAGCTTGAAGTAGAATTTCTTGTTTCATTGAAATTTCTTGTTTCATTGAATATTAGATAAGTAAAACAAGAATTTGATAAAGTATAAGTAAATAAATAATAATAATAGTAATTTAAACTTTTATATTATAGTCCGGCAGGGGGCAGGTCCGGTAGGGGCAGGTCCGGCAGGTCCGGCAGTGGCAGGTCTGGCAGGGGCAGGTCCGACAGGGTCAGGTCCGGGACAGGTCCGGCAGGTCCGGCAGTGGCAGGTCTGGCAGGGGCAGGTCCGGCAGGGGCAGGTCCGGCGGCAGGTCCGGTGGCAGGTCCGGCAGGGGCAGGTCCGGCAGGTCCGGCAGGTCCGGCAGGGGCAGGTCTAGCTTGTTTCCTGCGGTTAATATTGATCAGTCCTAATAGGACGAAACACTGTGTCTATGGATATATATATATATATTTAATTTTTTTTTAAATAACTCTATCTCATTAATCAGCTAATATTACTAAACAGAGCTGTTAGGATTTTAAATTACTTACATCTAATAAGGCTGCCCAATCTATGAAGTCTGCAGGTGGGGGGAGCTGCTTCCCCCTAGATTTCACCTACAAATTGAATGTGTTATTAACAATAATATCGTTGTTTTATCCTCAACGGAATATTCATTCCAAACGATTGAGTTGTGTTTGATAAGACTTATTGACCAGGATCTTTGATAATCACAGGAATGAATAGGGCTTTGATCCTCAGTGACTAACAGATCAATGGAATATTCATTTGAATTTACATGGTGATGTATGCTTATCAAAACTTGTAGATTTAAAGTTAGAAATACATATCTTAGATTCTAGGAAAATAATCTCACTTTTTTGGGACTGGCTGCGCTGGTGGTTGGTCCTGTGTCCTCATCTGCATCTGAAATGAAAATTTTTCATATTAGATGAACCAATTCCAAAATTTAAATCATTTCTAATTATTCTTAAACATTAAACTATAGAGTGAGCTAGCTCGTAGGTATAATTTTATACACTGATCAAATTTCTATTTGTATAGCATTCGATTACAATGTTTTGAAATTT